TAATTAATAAAATTTTTATTAACATGAGTTATGTATTAATTTAAACTTTTTGTTTATATATTTTAACTTTATTTTTTAAATATCGGCACTCAAATACATGTGACGATCTGGCTTTAAATTAATACAGAAAGCAATATAATACTGTATTGCTGTATTTAATGGTTTGGGCGAAATTATATTTCTATTTCCAAAATATTTCATATTTTAACAAGTAGTCCGAAATAATAATCCTAAACTCTGAAATTAAGACGAAAGTCCAATATAAATCTGATAAATATCTGATATTTTGATAAATCTAATATAAGTCTGATATCATATTTAAGGCAAATACGAATTTTTTTTATTATGACGAACTAACTATATTTGTAACAATATATTAATATTATAATTAAGTTTGCCAACAATAAAAACTTTAATATTCACTGACAATTAAATTATGTATTTTATTTAGTGCATAACTTTTTTTTCCTATTTTTAAAAAAATGGATGAACAACTTCGTAAACTTGGTTACAATTATTAACATGGTATTGGTATTAAGAAAGACGAAAAGAAGGCTTTTGAAAATTATATAAAAGCAGCTGAGTTAGGATACTGGTACGTATTAGAGAGCATTGAAAAGAACTTTATTTAAGGTCGACTCCTCACTTTTATTAATCCTATACTAATCTGGTACTTTTTTTACTAATCTAACGGTTTTTAGCTATCAAACAACACATTTTTAAGAGCATTTATTTTTAATAATATAGCAAAGTAACCATTTATGTTCAAATCTAATTACATAATTATACTTTTTTTTTTATTAGTATAACCAAACTTTTGAGATTTCTTTAATAAAAATTGATTCTGTGATTAAATATTGTAATTTATTATGTACAAGAAACATAACTCTAGTATTTGTAAAATAAGTCTTATATCATACATGTATTTAATCAGTTGGGTAATGAGCAATAATGATCAATATTGAATGCCAAACTTTTATTAATCCCTGATATTTATAAATTTGTTGGTTAGATGCAAGAAAATATTTACAAACTATATTAGTTTAATATTGCATTGACCTTTCTTTCAGGATCCCAATCCTCCTCATCATTTTTTATATTATTATCCTAAACAATAATATTTTTCTCATCAGAAAATTCAAAATTAGTATCAACGATTAATTCACCTAGATTATTTGTAAAAATAGTTGTATCAAGATCCAACAATTTCTCGATTTTTTAATATTTTTTCTTTTAGCGGTATGAAAGTATCTTCCATTTCTTCATTAGTAGGTTCTTTATTTGCTGGTCTTTCTTTATTTCCCAGTCTTCCTTCATTTGCTCTTTTTTCATTCGATGGTCTTTCTTTATTTGATAGTTTTTGTTCATTCGATAGTCTTTCTTCATTCACTGGTCTTTCTTCATTTGCTAGTCTTTCTTCATTAAGATGTTCATTATAATCATCATCATCATATAAATTTATATTAGACAATGCTTCATATAAATTTTTAACATTAGAAGAAAAATACAGCAGCTCATTCTTCGAATTTGCAAGATAAAAAGTAGAAAGCCTTTGCATGTTTTCAATTTTGTCTAAAGAAAGACGTGTACGATATTTTCCATAATACTACTCTAATGTAGACCAAATTCTTTCGCATCCGGCCACATATAGTGTTATAGAAAGTAGCATATGAGCTAATTGACAAATATGATCCTCATCTTTTAAAAAATAATCCTCCAATGACATCCACTAAACTGAAGGAGATTCATTATCATCAAATGGTATATCAAATAGTGCAATGCGATATCAGTAGCTTCTCATTTGAGACATCAGCATTTTTCTTTCTTTGGGTTTTTTACATATTTTTTTATAGAAACTATCTGCCACCAAAAGAATACACCGGAATGTTCCTCTTGCCCATACATCTGTATTAAGATAAAATTTAGTAAAATGTAAATCAGAATTAAATTTAAAATAAATAATTTACCAGTATATCCAGGATGTAAAAAAAAGCATAAAATATATGTATCGTTGTCAAACTCTGCAAATCTTCTATTAAAAATTGTAATTGCTTGTTGATGAAAACTATGATAATCATTCTCTGGAAGTCTTCTAATTGCTGCTCCCAAATGAACTAGACCAACGAAGCAGTCGGCTAGTGAACAATTTTGTAATTCAAGAATTGATATAGCTAGCTTAATAGGGGAAAATACAAATGCTAATACATTTAAATCATTAAAAATACTTTTGTGCGTAGTATTGATTGTACTGAAACATTTACATTATCACTATTATGAATCTAAAATTATAAATTATTAAATTAAAATTTTAACAAAAAAAAGTATTATATTATTTTATTGTTCAACTTACTATTTCTAGAGGTACTTTATATCTTATAATCAAAAATATATAATCGTATATAGTATGCCAACGGGTATCCACCCACCACTTAAGTCCTCCTCCTTCAACCAAATTTTCTTCGGCTAGAATTTTAAGTGTGTTTCCTATAATTAAACTATTTTAATAATATATTTAATCATTTTATTAATAATAAAAAATATTTTAATTAACAGACCTGCAAGGTGGTTTCATTTAAAATAGCTAACCACGGTATTACAGCGTGTAAGCATGCAGTTTGCAAATGGAGTTTTACAAATATCTCTTGAAATAAGGTTAACAGCATGTGAAATACATCGAAGATTCAAAATGTTCGGGTATTGTTCTGCAATGATATGGCGTGTAGCTTTAATATTAGCACCCAAATCCGTTACAATAGCTGAGAATTTTTCAGGTCCAATTTTTTCTAAAACATTGGTAATTTCTTCTGCTAAAAGTTTCTAGGTATGTCTTTCATTAGACAAATTTCGAAGACATCACAGATATTGACAATGATCCGGAGTATATACAACGAAGTTCCAAATAGAATTGTTAGAAGGATTGCTCCAACCATCACATGCTAATAAATAAAAAGCTTTTAGTTAAAAGCTTTAGCATTAGCCATAATAATTATAAATAAATAGCTTTTAGTTAAAAGCTTTAGCATTAGCCATAATAATTATAAATAAATAATTGTATATTTATTACCTATAGTTAGATTTTTTGAACTATTTAATTTCTTAATAACTGCCTAATTAGTAAATGCTGTTTCTTGTGCCAAGTAACAACCAGAAAGGACATCTTTAGATGGAGGTTCATATGCTGGATGTAATGTTTTTAATAATTCGATAAAAAATGGGTTCTCAATAATATGAAATGGGATTCCATAAACAACAAAAGCTTTCACCAATGCTCTGTTTATATCTTTAATATGTTCTGGCATCAATTTTGTACTTTTGATAAAATCTGAAAGTTGTGCTTGATTTGACTGATTGCCAAGTTTTCGTTTCTTTGATTTTGATATATCAACTTCAAGTGCCTTTGCTGCTAACCAGTTTAAAAATAGGTCACGAACATCTAGTGGCATATTATTATATAAATTACTTAAGTAGTCTTCGAGAGCAGCAGAAGAACCTTTGTACCAAAATTGGTTACAATAATTGCATGTTGTATTCCAATGTCCCTTGGAAATTTGCTTTTCTTGCTTAATATGATCTCCCCATACGATAGATTTTGGTTTTCTACTTGTTTTTGATGTAGGAGTATTAGATGAAACAATAGGAGGAACCATATCATTATCAGAATTTTTAGCCATTTTGCATCATAAACTAATGCTAATTCAAATTTCAGTTCAGTGTATTTTTGAAGTTTAATCGTATTAGCATTCCTTTTAAAATAAGTGATAATGATGATATCATACATGTGCAAATAGCCATTTTTACCCTGATAGTAGAACCGTTTACAGTATGTATATATCATACACATGATTTGAAGATATGATTTAATTAGCATTAGCTCACGACTGATTTCTGAATATAGTGATATATTTTTCACCTTTGACTATTTAAGGTATGTAATGTATATATCATAAATTTGATTGTTCTAAAAAAAATGTATTACATAATAAGGCGTTCTTGTTTGAATTGGGATTTATGCATCAATTCAACCAGTTCAATATAGCACTTGGGGTCCCAAAGCAAATTCAAATCTACCAGTTCTGAATTTGAAAAGTTTAATCGTTTCACTAATAGGATATTATAAACTAAAGTTAGCATGAATGTTTCCAGTTTAATAAATATCA